GAGAAATGATTTGAATTGCCTGAGCAAGAGTGACAATGTGTCCCTCTAACCCCTTGAAAAGAAGTGAATTACTCAAATGAGTCAAGAAAGTGTGCCATAATGAATCAAAGAAAGTGCTTAAGGGAAGATTGAACCCATTTGAACAAAAACACATCCTACCCTTACCCAAAAGCCTTCATAATTGACTCCCCAAAAGCCCTATAGGATCTTGAGTTGAAGGGAACCAGCATTAGTGGATACGTACATAAGGGGCAAGCATATGGTACCTAGAGCCGGACTTGTGACGTTTCTTTTTGAGAGAAATGAGTGAAATCCCCATCAACCTCGATTTGTGTGTCAATACTCTAAAAGGTGAGGTTCGCTTAGGGAGAGTTGAGGATGTTTGAGTTTGGGTTCCACAATGACCAAGGCATTTGAGAAAAGCCCTTTGATGGAATGTGTCAACCCTTGATGCTCTTGTGTCACACTTGATCCATAGTTTTCAAAAGCCTAAAATGTGTTAATGATGCATTCGTATTGAGGACAATAGTTAGTCCCAATTGATGCTTGTTGAGGTTACTTTAGGATAGCTGGAAATTCTTGGATTGCTCTTTTTGGGGTGGGTACGTATAAGTGTAGGGGCTCGAACTGGGGTTCCCTTTTCCAGAACCTTTGACCTTCGAGAGCCATGACCCACTCTGTCAACTCCTCACCATCCACATTTTCCATATTCATCAAGCAGGCTTCTAACGGATCCCTGACATGAAGAGTCTCGTCCTCCTCTTGTAGTATTACATCCACGGCCTCCACTAGCGAGCAATTTGCAAATTCGTTGGGTCTCCTCATAGATTGTTAAACATTGAATATTATTTCTTCATTATTTAACCACATTTTCAACTCTCCAGTCTCAAAATCAATCAATGCTCTCCCTGTGGCTAAAAACGGCCTTCCCAGAATGATTGGTATCTCTTCATCCACTTGACAGTCAAGAATGGCGAAGTCTGCAGGGAATACAAACTTCCCCACTTCAACAAGCACATCATCAAGAATTCCTGTCGATCTTTTGACTGTGCGATCAGCCAGTTGCAGCAACATTGAGGTCGGTCTAGCTCTCCTAAAGCCTAGTTTTGTATAGATTGCCAAGGGCATCAAGTTTATACTGGCTCCCAAGTCACACAATACTTCAGCAAAAACATAACTCCCAATGGTGCATGAGATAGTGAAACTACCTGGATCAGACACCTTTTGAGCCATAGGCCTTGTCACTACCGCGCTGCAAGTCTGCGTCAGAGTTACAGTGGACAGGTCCTGGAAGTCAAATTTTCGCGACATCAGGTCCTTCATCATTTTGCATACCTTGGCATTTCCCTCAAAGCATCCATCAGTGGAATATTCAATTGAATTTGTATGGAGCTATTTCCATGAATTTCCTGTTATTGATCATTCTTTTGCTTTGCCAACCTAGAAGGAATGGTGTAGGAGTCAACATCTACCCACTGCTTTGTGTTTTTTCTTTGCTGGAAGCTTTTTCTAGCACCTGTTCTGGGAGTTGTTCACCTTCCTTCTCCTTACCCTTGTCAACCTGTGCCTGTTCAATTACAACCTCGGTGAGCTCTGCTGATTCATCCTTCTCTAATGTAACTGGAGTAGTTGGCATTGTCTCTCTCCTAGATTGAGTAACTTCTTGCTCCCTGTCTAAATCTCTTCCATTCCCGAGACTCACTGCCATTAGCTGATTTAGGTTCTGTTCCTTTGGATTAATATTTGTATTTGTAGGCAATGTTCCTTGTGGGCGATTGTTCAAGGCCATAGATAGCTGTCCCAATTGAGTTTCAATGCCTTTGATTGCTGAATCATGTGCAGCTAACTACTTTTGCATCTTTCCATTTGTCCCAATGAGTTGTTGCAGCATGCCCCTGATTTCGATCATTTTACTGTCCTGCTGTTGATGAAGTGGTTGGTATGCCAACTGTTGTTGGTGCTGCTGATTATAGCCCTGCTGCCTTGGATAAGGCACGACTTGGCCTTGTGGTCGTGCTCCTCCTGGATTGGGGTTGTGTTGTGGCTGGTTTGGTCTGTACTGCTGGTTTGATGTTGGTCCCCATTGCTGCCCACATTGCCTCTGACCTTCGAAATTATTGACATAATTCATGTCTTCTTTGAAGCCCTGGTTGTCATTCTCTCCACTACACGAGCACACATATGACTGGTTTATGCAAGGAGTGCATATGCCTCCATTTGTGGTATCAACAATGTGCACCTGTTTCGTACCCATCTCATCAATTTTCTTTTTCAGCAAGCTCATCTGGGTCATGAGAGTGGCTATGTTTTCTGCATTTGTATTGTTTGGGTCAAGAGTGATAGAATGCACTATTGGAGTGAGTGTTGTATCTCTCGTCATCCAGCCTGAATTTTGAGACATCTTGTCAAGAAGAATCTTACACTCTGTGAATGTTTTGCTCAAGAATGCACCCCCGGCAAAAGCATCTACATTGGGCTTTAGACCGTCAACCAAACCCATATAGGATCTCTGTCCCAGCATCTGATCCGAAATGCCATGGTGCGGACACTTCACCAACATACCCTTAAACCTCTCCCAGGTTTCTTGCAAAGTTTCAGTCGGTTTCTGCCTGAATTGCAATATCTCATCAATTTGCCTTGCAATTTTGTTGGGTGGATAGAACTTGTTTAAGAACCGCTTGACTAGTTCCTCCAAGTAGCAATGGAGTTTATTGGGAGCAAATTCAACCAAGTTTGAGCCTCCCCAGTCATTGAGAATGGGAACATCAATAATTTGATTGCTTCAGGAGTTACATTCGGTTGTCTTTGAGTGACACAAATTGATAGAAAGTTCTTCAGATGTTGTGGGTTTTCAATGTACGACTCGGTGAACAACCCCTTATTCTGCAGCAAGTGCAGCATGTTGTTGGTAATCTGAAATGTCTCAGCTTGTATCTGAGGGACTGCAATTGTTGTGGCCAGGTTATCAGTAGTTGGTTGCGCCCAATCATAAAGAGCAGCTTCCGGCACAAGAGGTTCTACCACTCTGATGTTTGGGTCAACTCGATCAATCCTATTGCTCCCATTGATGTTCTCGGCGTCGTCCATTTCAATTTCGAGTTGGTCATTTTGTTTTAGCTATTTGCCCTTCTTGTTAGCCCGATTCAATGCCCTGAATGCTTTTTCGGGATCTAAGAGTCCTTCAAAAAGTTCTCCAGTTCTCAAGGAGCTTCTAGGCATGCACCTGAGTCACAGAAGAGTTCAAACGTAAAAATTTCAATGGAAATATTTTTAACACCATAGAAAATTTGATCTAAACTAATAATCCCAGCGATTCTTCCAAGTTGTAATAAATAACACCGTTAGTTCCCCGACAACGGCCCCAAAATTTGATCATGTCCAACTATGCCTTGTAAAAAAAGGACTAAGCGGTCGCTGCAAATATAATCAGGTTCAAGTCCGGAGTCGAATCCCACAGGGAACAAACCTATTTACTACAACTTTTAACACTGCTAATGATAAGCTCAGACAATTCCCGGATGCAAGATTTTTAATGGATAATAGGTAGAATTTAGTTAACTAAGGAAAAATTACAATAAAACTAGCAATAATCAAGAATAAAGTTGAGTTTAATGGTAAAAGGGTCTAGGTCTATTGATTTCCTCAGTTGTCGGATTAATTCCTGACACGTTAGCTATAATCTCGCCGTAACACTCTATAAGGAGTATGAGTTCTGGGTTACCGCAATTATCTCTCGATCAATTACGATAATTTACTAGAAGAATTCCCTCGAACTACTCTAGTTAACAATTTATGCAACTCAGAGTTATCCCTCCAAAGCATCGTTATCTCTAACCCTGCTTTTAAATTCTAGTAATCAATCTCTTAACTTACCCGAAAGTGGTGTTGTTCAACAACAATCTAACCAAGTGTTATTTCTCAAGAAACACAAGATAACTAGACACGATTAATCAAGGGCCCTTTCAATTAGTCACATGACAACACGTAGTTGAACAATCATAGAGTAAAAACGGCTCAATTATATCAAAACAGAGTCAGGACTTCATCTAACAATTGGTTCCGTCAACCCTAGATGACGGGTTTAGCTACTCATACTAATAGATAAAAATTCACTATAGAAAGTCATAATCAACAGTGGCATTAAGAAGAAGAAGAAGAAAACTCTTAGGGAAATTCTCCGTCTTCCTCTCGTGTACTTGCCTCCAAAATCTCTCTAAAACAGCTATCTTTCTCTTCTGGGCGAATTAGGCTTCATATCGGTTTAGGTTAGTCGCCTTGGGAATTACATAATTGACCCTGGGTTATTGGTCTCCGTCAGCCCGTTCGCGGCCGCGGATTTGACCGCGGATCCGCCCTCTCAAGAATCTCAAAAGGCCTGATATACCTAGGGCTCAGTTTGCCCTTCTTCCCGAATCTCATAACACCCTTCATGGGCGAAACTTGGAGCACTCCCCAACCATGAATGCGACATCGCGAACCTTTCGATCCGCATAACTCTTCTGTTAGGATTGGGTTGTACGAAGTTGATCCTGAATCACCTTAACCTATTCCAAAGCATCTTGAACCAAGTCTGTACCGAATAGTCTAGCGTCGCCCGGCTCGAACCATCCCACCGGAGAGCGACACTGTCTACCATACAAAGCCTCATACGGGTCCATCTGAATGCTCGACTGATAAGTGTTGTTGTAAGCAAACTCCGCAAGTGGCAAGAACTGATCCCAAGAACTACCAAACACCATCACACATGCACGGAGCATATCCTCCAGTATCTGAATAGTGCGCTCAAACTATCCATTCATTTGAGGGTGAAATGTTGTGCTTAACTCAACCCGAGTACCTAAATCATGTTGTACGGACCTCCAGAACCGTGATGTAAACTGCGTACCCCGATCAGAGATGATAGATACCGGCATGCCATGAAGCCTGACAATCTCGCGGATATAATCTCGAGCCAGCTGCTCGAAAGAAAAAGTAGTCATCATTGGAATGAAATGAGCCGACTTGGTCTACCTATCCACAATCACCCAAACTGCATCGAACTTCCTTTGAGTCTGTGGGAGCCCAACAACAAAATCCATAGTGATCTGCTCCCATTTCCACTCCGGAATCTCTAGCTTCTGAAGCAATCCACCTGTCCGTTGATGCTCATGCTTCACCTGCTAGCAATTTAGGCACCGAGCCACATACTCTACTATGTCCTTCTTCATCCTCCTCCACCAATAATGCTTCCTCAAGTCCTAATACATCTTCGCGGCACCCGGGTGAATGGAGTACCACGAACTGTGAGCCTCCTGGAGAATCAACTCACGCAAACCATCTACATTGGGCACACATAGCCTGCCCTGCATCCTCAAATGCACCGTCATCTCCAATAGTAACCTCTTTAGCATTACCGTGCTGAACCGTGTCCTTAATGACAAGCAGATGGGGGTCATCATACTGACACTCCCGGATAGGATCATAAAGAGAAGATAAAGAAACCACACAAGCCAAAACTTGACTCAGCTCAGAAATATCCAATCTAACAAACTGGTTGGCTACGACCTGAACATCCAATGCCAATGGCCTCTCTGCTGCTGGTATATATGCTAAGCTGCCCAAACTCTCCGCCCTGTGACTCAAGGCATCGGCCACCACATTGGCCTTCCCGGGGTGGTATAGAATAGTGATATCATAGTCCTTAAGCAGCTCTGACCACCTCCGTTGTCGCATGTTATCCTTTTATCTGAACAGATGCTGCAAACTCCAGTGATCGGTGTAGATCTCACAAGGGACACCGCACAAATAGTGCCGCCAAATCTTCAAATCATGAACAATGGCTGCTAACTCAAGGTCGTGGACAGGATTTTTCTTCTCATGTACTTTCAGCTGTCTATACGCGTAGGCGATCACCCTACCGTCCTGCATCAACACTGCTCCGAGACCAATACGCGGCGCATCACAATATACAATATAAGACCCTGAACCTGTAGGTAATACCAATACTGGGGCTGTAGTCAAAGCTGTCTTGACCTTTTGAAAGCTCTCCTTAAACTCCTCTGTCCACCTGAACAGAGCACCCTTCTGGATCAGCCTGGTCATAGGTGCTGCAATAGATGAGAAACCCTCTACAAATCGACGGAAGTACCTCGTCAAACCAAGAAAACTTCGAATCTCCATAGCTGAGGACGGTCTAGGAAAACTCTGCACTGCTTCAACCTTCTTCGGATCCACCTTGTCCCCTCACTCGACACTATGTGACCCAAAAATGCCACTGAATCTAGCTAGAACTCACACTTTGAGAATTTTGCATACAACTTCTTTTCTCTCAAGGTCTGAAGCACAGTCCTCAGGTGCTGCTCATGATCCTCCCGACTCTGGGAGTACACCAGAATGTCATGAATAAACATAATGATGAATGAGTCAAGATAGGGCCGAAATACACTGTGCATCAAGTGCATGAATGTTTCTGGGGCATTGGTCAGCCCAAATGACATCACAAGGAACCCGTAGTGACCATACCGAGTCCTGAAAGCAGTCTTCGGGATATCTGGCTCCCGAATCTTCAACTAATGATAGCCTGAACGCAAGTCAATCTTGAAAAACACTCTGGCACCCTGTGACTGATCGAATAGGTCATCAATACGAGGCAATGGATACTTGTTCTTCAGTGTAACTTTGTTCAATTAGCGATAATCAATGCACATACGCATAGAACCAACCTTCTTCTTCACAAACAAGATTGGAGCAGCCCAAGGTGACACACTGGGCCGAATGAAGCCCTTGTCAAGTAACTCCTGTAGTTGTTGT